TTTCAATACATATTTTCTTCCTTTTTCCCTTTATTCTTACTCAACTTCCATTTTACCTTCAAATTTGCTTTTCTGATCTTTATCATTCTTAGCAGCGAGGCATTTTCGGATCTCTAATCCAATTGCACGTGCCATGGGTGGAGGAACAGCATTTCCAACCTGAGGAATAGTATTGCTCTCTAATAAAGAAGTAATGGGATTTGACTTACACAGCAACGTATAAATAAGATTTCCTTGTTCATTGGTTATCCTGAGATGGCAGAATTTATAAAGAAAACTTATTTGAGCTATATTCTCACATGGTTTATACACATACCTAGAAGATAAAATATATAATAATTCATACATACCTGTCTGTGTTTCTCCAAAATTGATCCATAAAACCGGTAGGTATCCGGGAATCCTTGTGATCTGGCACACTCACGCACACTTACAACCCGAGACTGCTCTGGATGCAGCACTCGTCCCTGGGGAAAGAACAAAGAAAAAAATTGTGATCTCTTTCTATTTCTTAGAAGTATCTTATTAAAAGTTTTATAAGATAGTTGAGACATTTGCCAATACCTGCTTGCCCATTGGTTCTGGATTTGTAACAGTTGTGGAAAAGAAACCATCCCAATTTAGCCTGCCATAGAGACCCGACCAGTGGTTGTGACGATTGCCGGTGTGTGGAAGGCACCAAGGAATGAGGGTGTTAAACTGCTTGTCCATGGGATCACATGCTTTACCAGCAGCACATGAACAGACACCTCTAACTGCTCCAGTTGATGATCTGCCCTGTTTCTTGTCTGGATGTGTGTACTGACTGGAAATGAAATGAAATTAAACAAAATGAAAGAAATGATTAGAAACTATATAAAAGCTTTATAATATTCCCTACTCAATATTATTCAGGAAATAAGGAAGACACACAAAATCTAAGAATTTCTTGGCCTATAATACTTGTGTCTTATTCATCGTAATACTCGAGTACACCTAGACTTTTGGTGCTAAATTTGAGCTCACTCAATCAAGCTAATAAAACTGATGGCCTATTCTTTTTTTTCTTTTATTTATATAATTTTAATTGATCTTATTTTTTCAGTCTTTAGGAGGGCATGGAATGTAAGGTAGCATTTCTGATACTGTTTGGCTATACTCCCATCCCCTTGTACCTCTCGAACACCCATCTTAGAAGTGTCTCCAGTGTGCCTTCTTGGACAAGTATATAAATGTCACACATATAAAATGCACACACTTATATTATATGGCATATTCATCCTCAAAACCTCTGTATTCCCCCTACCCTTTGCACCCTCTCACCTCTATAAACCAATAATCAAAATTGTCTCATGGTTTGTTCCTGCTTCTTTCTATGAATTAATGTTAAAAAGTATAAAAGTGTAAAAATTCTCTCTCTCTCTTGCTCTCTTTACTTCAAAGTGGTAACTTTTCTCAACTCTGTTAATTATGACATACCAGTGCAAGATACATACATCAAAATTAAAACAAGTTTATCCATTAATAAAAAAAGCAAGATTTAACATCAATTCATGGCAAGTAATTAAAAAGAACATGTTAAACATGAATAAAAAAGCAAACCTATGAAAATCAGTTGCTTCATATACTTACAGTTTCTTTGTTACTTTTCCATCTGAAAGAGTAACTACTATGTTGGGCAAGTCTCTCCAGTCAGACCCTGGCACTGTTGGAATGTACTTCATGCGAGCCTCAACCAGAGGTGCCATGTCTTTACAAATGTGATCTCGCAATATGGGCTGATACTGGTCACCACGGATCTACGAATAAGAAACAATAAAATCAAATGTGGAAAAGTCTATGATAAATGAATGTCAAAAAGGTTATATAATAAAATTGTAGAACAAAGTAAGAGAAATGTTATGCCTGTGAATTCAAATCAACATCCTATACAAGCCTCACAAAAAGATAAACAAAAAATCCAAAAATCTTATTCTTCAATTTTTCTTCTACCAAATCTACCTTATAACACTACAAAAACCTTACCAAGCGCTGGAAATGTGACTCTGGATCAGTGCCGTAACTTATCTCCTCCCTCCGATGGCCGTTGCGGATTTCAGGAAGGTCTGACATGGTATCTCTCACTGTGATTGTACGTAATGGGGAGGATTCGACCCACTGGGAGTTGGTGGTATACTGGAAAAGATTACAAAATTACAAATGACCATATAAAGAGATAAGATATTTTTTTATTATTTCCCCCCCCCATTTTTATCTACGGGTCTTTTTTATTCACAGTAAATGAAAAATAAATATATCTGTTAGGAAACAATAATAATTCATAAATATCACAGGAAAGAAAGAAGAAAAAGGAAGAAAGAAAAGAAAAGTAAAGTAAAGAAAAACGGTCAGTGTAAAAATGTCAGACCCTTATTGTGGACAGACTTACCTTCTTATTATCTACAACAACAGAGAGGTTGCAGGCTCTTCGGCTGAATGCATGTGTTGGTTCAGGATAGAAGGGCAGCTTTTCGCCAGGTGC